GCAATGTCCAAGTCCAACAGCTGGTTAATTAAATTATGATATGTACATTATGATGGAATTTTGTAGACCAATTACAAGTTTGTCCTTTAGAGTAATGACTCTCAATAAGGTAAACTTATCAGAATCACCCATGGGGCTTTTTCAATAAACGCATGCCCCTCCAACCTCCTGCATGCCTGGGGCTGAGGCGGGGAGGGATGGGTAGTGTCCTGGCTGAGCTGACTGGTGTGGTGAGCTACTGTTACTATGGGAATGTGTTATGCCCTTCAAGTGTGCCAAAGTGAAAGCCAGTATTTAAGAAGACTCTTTTGTCATATGGTATATTAAAAAAGTAGGTTATGTGGAATTCACATAACATAAAACTAACCTTTTTTTTTTGTTTTTTTTTTGTTTTGCGGTACGCGGGCCTCTCACTGCTGCGGCCTCTCCCGTTGTGGAGTACAGGCTCCGGACGCGCAGGCCCAGCGGCCATGGCTCATGGGCCCAGCCGCTGCGCGGCACGTGGGATCTTCCCGGACCGGGGCACGAACCCGCGTCCCCTGCATCGGCAGGAGGACTCTCTCAACCACTGCACCACCAGGGAAGCCCAAAACTAACCATTTTAAAGTGTACAATTCAGTGCTAATTAGTACATTCACAATGTTATGCGGCCACCACTTCTGTCTAGATCCAAAACATCCTCATCACAACCCAAAAAGTCCCTATACCCATTAAGCAGTCACTACCCAGTGCCTGGCAATCACCAGTTTGCTTTATGTCTCTATGGACTTACACACATAAATACCTATTCGAGATATTGCAAATAAATGGAACCATCCAATATGTGGCCGTTTATATCTTTTACTGCATGTCAATATCCAATTGTCCCAGCACCATTTGTTGAAAACACTATTCCTTCCCCATAGAATTGCTTTGGCGTTTTGGTTGAAAATCAACTGACCATAAATATGAGTTTATTCCTGAACTCTTGATTCTCTTCACCAATCTACACGTCTAACCCTATACCATACCAGTACCACAGATACTATAGCTTTATAGTAAGTGTTGGAAAATGTAAGTCCTCCAACTTTGTTCTTTTTCAACAGATTGTTTTGACTATTCTTGGTTCTCTGCATTTCCATGTAAATTTAGGATCAGTTTGTCAATTTCTGCTAAAACTTTGATAGGGATTGTGTTCAACCTACAGACCAATTTGGGAAGAATTGCCATCTTAACAATATTGAGTCTTCCAATCCACGAATATTAAATCTCTCTCCATTTATTTAGATCTTCTTTAATTTCTCTCAGCAATATTAGTTTATAAGTCTTAAAATTCTTTTGTTAAATTTATTCTTAAGTGTTTCATTCTTTTTGATGCTATTGTGAATGGAACTGTTTAATTTCATTTTAAGATTGTTCATTGCTCATATATAGAAATACAACTCAATTTTATATACTGATCTTGTATCTTGCAACCTTGCTGAACTTATTATTTCTAATAGATATCTGCAGATTCCTAAGGATTTTCTATATACAAGATCATGTCATCTGTAAACAAAGACAACTTTACTTTCTTTCCAATCTGGATGCCTTTTTAAAATTTTTTTTGGCCTGACTACTAGAGCCTCAGAATCTGTATTTTTAATAAGTTCCCAGGTGATGCTGATGGTCTGGGGATCACACTTGAGAGCCACTGCTCTAAAGAATGTATATCACAGGATGGATATGACACTAGAGGAAAGATACTAGAGTCACTAGAAGGGGAGTGACTATTACAATATATCACAGGTATAAGATCCTTTCTTTCTCGATACTGTGAAGGAAAATGATGATCAAAACGGTCAGAAAAGTCTAAGCATCATTACTTTGGAAGAAACACATAAATAGAGATTATTCAGTGACATTTTTGGTGTTCTGTAATTTTTTGAAAGTCTTTAAAAATCTCAAAAATGTAAATGATGTTACTGGGGAAAAGCTAAAATGGTATGGAGCGTACATTTAGGAATTACAGTTGTTAATAAATAGAGACCAAATTAAAGGTATTAAATATTAAAATAACAATAAAACAATAACAATAAAATGTTAATAGAAAATAATATCTATGGAGCACGTATGACTGCTAGGTACTATTCTAACTGCTATATTAATTCATTAAATCCTTACAACGCTATGACTTAGCTATTATTATTATCCCCATTTTATAGACAAGGAAATTGAGGCACACAAAATTTAAATAACTCATTCAAGGTTACACAGCCAGAGTCAGAATTCATCTAAGGCGATGTAGCTCTAGAGCTCTAGAGGTCATTCTTTCCCATAACACTATACTCATTCACTTTCTTCTTGCCACTGACAATAAAAATTTCCTACCTCTGACTTAGTAATAAAATCAATTTTCTACTGCTCTGTGTGAACTTCAAAGGGAATCATAATAATTAGGGTGTTTCCCACCATTTGATGGAATTAAAAACAGTGTCTAGGTAGAAGGATGGGTACCTAGCTGTTCATCTGTGAAAATAAATTGTGTGGTGGGCTCTGAAAGTCAGGGAAGTTGCAATCTCTGTTCTAGAAGCTCACAGAAATGGCAGAATGAGAATTAGTTTCTTGAGGAGAGTAGGTATAACAAGCTTTAACCAGGGTGGCTGAATACACAAAGGAATACAGCCTTACCAGAAGCTGAAAAAAAACAATGATGACCCTGCTGATGCTCCTAATTCTAGGTTGTTTGGCGGGTCTTAAATTTTAAAGAGGCTTGCAAAGGGATGTGGTAAATTCACATGACCCCTCTCTGCTGTGACAGCTTGCTCCTGTCCAAATGAATCTTAGTCACCACTTTGGCTATTTTAGGCCCAAGTCTGATTCAGTGGCTCTGGGAGAAATACAGCATGTGTTTCTTGTGAGGGGGCAAGCCTGAGCCCTAGAGTAAATGGCTTTTATTTGGGCAATGAAGGGTTCAATCCCAGACAGGGTCATGTCACACTGGCCAAAGCAACAATAGAGTTAAAAAGACTTTAGGGAAGAATTGAGAAAGAAGTATAATTAATAGCTTCTTTGGGAAAGAAATTAACTTCAAAAACGGCTAACCATTCACTTTGGATAAGATTTTTTTTTCTTTTGTAGGCCATACTGGTTCAGGTGTATAGCAAAGCAAAAAACCAAAAGTCTTGGGAAACTTCTTTGGGCACCTTCTCAATAATGGCATGTCATTAATAATTATTGTTTTGCCGAGGATTTTTAAATAGAGAAGAGCCAGTTTGCACCCCTGACTGCAAAAACTAGGAAAAAGGCTTAACTGGGAATAATCATCACCAACAGTGACATGTTAGAATTTCCCTTACTCTACAGTTGCACTCTCCAATAGAACTTTTTGCAGTGATGGAAATGTCCTATATCTGCTCTGTCCAATATGGCAGCCACTAGCCACATATGGTTGCTGAACACTTGGAATGTGCTAATGTGACTGAGGAACTGACCTTTTTTTAAAAAATTAATTAATTAATTAATTTATTTATTTTGGCTATGTTGGGTCTTTGTTGCTGTGTGTGGGCTTTCTCTAGTTGCGGTGAGCAGGGGCTACTCTTCGTTGCGGTGCACAGGCTTCTGCTTGCGGTGGCTTCTCGTTGTGGAGCATGGGCTCTAGGCACGTGGGCTTCAGTAGTTGTGGCATGCAGGCTAAGCAGTTGTGGCTTGCAGGCTAAGCAGTTGTGGCTTGCAGGGCTCAGCAGCTGTGGCTCGTGGGCTCAGCAGTTGTGGCTCGTGGGCCCTAGAGCGCAGGTTCAGTAGTTGTGGTGCCACAGGCTTAGCTGCTCTGCAGCATGTGGGATCTTCCCGGACCAGGGCTCAAACCCGTGTCCCCTGTGTTGGCAGGCAGATTCTCAACCACTGCACCACCAGGGAAGTCCTGGAACTGACCTTTTAATTTTAGTTAATTTAGATTTAAAACGCTGCATGTGGCTAGTGGCTAATATGTTGGCCAGTTCAGCTCCATATGATAATACTGTAGCCTACATAGTTTCCTGAAAATTCATATAAATGTTCTTATAAATCTAGAGTTGAATACAATCATTCACATATTTCAGAAGTCAAATAACAATGAATTAATAATATTATTGCAACTTATGACATATCTGAAAATACTTATGAAGAGAAGTTTTATAGTTGGCAGGAGTCACATGGCTAAGGAGGATTCATCTAATCAACCACTTAGAGGACAGAGCTAAGTTTTTTAATAGTAATTAAAGTAAGTCAAATATAAGTTAATTTTAAGACGATAATATAATAGTTTCCTCTGTTGGGGGGAGGAGGGAAATGCTGTCCCATAAGATTTTTGCCCAGTGCTGAAAGATTCCATTATTTTATTCTGGGTCTTTTTCAAAAACCTCAAAAACCTTTTAAAGTCAAATGGGCCCTCCATATGAAGTAAATACTGTGTTTTGTTTGTTTGCTTGTTTGTTTTTGGTGGGGTGGAGGATAGGGAGCATGGTAAACGGGAGAAAGGTACTCTAGGAAGAATAAAGAAAAAGTGAGAAAAGTGATTTGAAAATATTTTCTGGTAGACCACGGTAGTAGGGATTTTGACTGCTTTGTGATGGCTGTTCAACCCTAGTTCCAATTCTAATTTGGTATTATTCCCATTGAACTAAACTCACATTTTCTGACAAAATATTTAAGTTTGAGAAAGCATGGCCTAGATTAAAATTCAACAATAATGGATAATAATAGCAAATTACTATTTTTAAAGTAATTATATCTCTGCTATGAATTTTAGAGATAACATAAATCTAAAATGTGATTAATCTTCCATTTATTATTACTTATTGTTTGGATTTGTACTTAGATATTACCTTAAATGACTTAAAAAACCAAAATCTTATTGAAATAATGGTAACTTTTGGAAGTAAGAATTTAGCTGTAAGAAAGCAACAGCCAATACCAGGATAATATTTATGGGCACTGAAACAGAATAAAAACATTATCATCAACTGCCTCTATCTGGCTTTTTGATGATTTCTTTAATTTACCTTTAGTTTCCTCCTTGCATTAAATTTCCTCAGTTGTTCTACTGTTTCTGGAAGATGAATCTTGTAGGCATAACGATCCCGCTCCTATAAAAGATGAAAGATAATGAACACACATAACTGTTTAAAAGAGTGAAGGAGCTTAATCTAAATAAACAGTAAGCCCAAACTGGATATGAAGGTCAAAACTGATAGTAAAATATTATTTCATTTTCAGCAATAACAAAGGGCTAAAATAATGGTCCATGTAATTTTCAGATATATGGCTATGTGGCTAAAACAATTAATCATAATTACTAGGAAGGTATGAAGTTACCTTTGATACAATCTTGTCAGGTAAAATGAGCCTTTAAAAAATTAACTCCACAACTAACTCAGCATTCTGAGTTGTCAGGAATAACTGGATTTAAAAAAAAGTCACAGTGGGCTTCCCTGGTGGCGCAGTGGTTGAGAGTCCGCCTGCCGATGCAGGGGACACGGGTTCGTGCCCCGGGTCCGGGAAGATCCCACATGCCGCAAAGTCACAGTATCTTCAAACTAGGACAAACTTTTCAAGGCCATCTAATTCAACCACTTCCCAGTGTGGGATCCCCTGCAATCCCTGATGGATGATCATTCTGTTTGACCTCATACAACAGATTACTTTATGGCAGCCCACTACAATTTTAAGAAAGTGAAAAAATTCTTACTCAGCCTAGTCCCACATCTGGCTTGTATGGACTAGCTCTTCTCCTTGGGGATCATAGAGCAAACATACTACCTCTTCCATATAATACCCCTTTAGTAGTTAAGAGGGGGATCATGCTTCCACTAAATCTATTCCTCTCTGTGATAACATCTCCAGTTGCCCCAACTTCTCGTGTATATTTCAATCTGCATTTCATTCTCCTTGTCTCCCTCTTTGATTCTAGTCTAATTTGTCAGTGTATCTGGAAGATTTTATGCTACAAGTATTTATTTTAGAAATATTTCTTGAGTGCCTACTATATGCCAGGCATTGTTCTATAATCTTGGGATTAACAAGTAAACAAACCCAGCAAAGATTCTGGCCCTCATGTAGCTCATATTTCAGTGGGAGAAGATAAGAAAATACAAAAAAAAGGTAAATTATAGAGTATGTTAAGAGTGCTATGGAATAAAGCAAAAAGTAAGGCAGGGTAAAGGTACATTGCAATTTAAAATAGGATGGTCAAAGTAGGCTCAACTGAGAAAGTGATATCCAAAAGAGGTGAGAGAGTGGGTCTAGGCAGATAGAACAACTAATGCAAAGGCCTTTCAAAGGAGAGAGTGTACCCGAAATTTTCAATAAATAGCAAGGAGACCCGTGTGTGGAGTAAACAGTAGATCAGATTAGAGAAGTGGCAAGGCTGGTGGAGGGCATAAAGGGCCTTTGGCTTTTATTCTGAGTGGGAGATGGAGCAACTGGGCGGTTTTTGAGCTGGAGTGATGTGATCTGACAAGTTTAGAGGAACACTCTGGTTGTTGTGTTGAGAATAGATTGGAAGGGGGCGAGAATTTAAAAAAAAAAAGGCAGGGAGACCAGTTAGGAGGTTATTGTAGTAATCCAGGGGAGAGATGATGGTAGATGAAACCAGATGGAAACAATAAAAAGGGTGAAAGGGAGATAGACTCTGAATGTAATTTGTTTTGTTTTCCCGAAAAAGTTTTACTGAGGTATAATTAGCATACAATTAACTGCACATGTACGATGGGATAAGTTTTGACATACGTATATAAACATAAAACCATCACCACAATCATAACGAACATATCCATCACTCTCAAAAGCTTCCTTGTGTCTCTGTCGTCCCCTTTCCCATCCCCAGGCAATCACTGATCTACTCTCCCGTTACCTGAGATTAGTTTGCATTTTCTAGAATTTTATATAGATGGAATAATACAGTACATGTTAATTATTGTCCAACTTCATTCACTCAGCCTAAATATTTTAACTTCACCCATGTTGTTGCATGTACCAATAGTTCATTCCTTTTTATTGCTGAGGGGTATTCCATTGTATAGATGTACCATAAACTTGTTTATTCAGTCACCTGTTGATGGACCCTGGGTTGTTTCCAATTTTTGCCTATTATGTATAAGGATGCTGTGAACATTAATGTACAAGTCTCTGTATGGATATATGTTTCATTTCTCTTAGGTAAATACTTAGGAGTAGAATGGCTGGGTCATTTTATAAGAGTATGTTTAACTTTTTAAGAAACTGCCCAACAGTTTCCCAAAGTGGTTGTACCATTTTACATTCCCATAGGATTGTATAAGTTCCAGTTGTTCAACATCTGCACCTACACTTGGTGTGTTTAGTCTTTTTGATTTTAGCCATTCTGATATATGTGTGTAGAGGTATTTCGTTGTGGTGTTAATTTGTATTTCTCTAATGACTAATGATGTTGACCATCTTTGCATGTGTTTATTTGCCATCTGGATACCATATAATATTTTCAAATTAAGTCCAAGATCACATTATTATTATTTTGTAACTAAAATTTCTCTTTGTATGTGAACTACTTCTAAAATCAAATGTTTTAGTATCATGTACTTACAAATTTACTTTTGAATTTAAGTAGGATTTTAGAGTCAGTCCTGTCAACGCTTCACCTTATTACCAGTGAAAGTTCCTAAGGAATGAATACAAACACTTGAAAATTTATTTTCTGTATTAATGACTAAGAGTAACAAGAGTTCCCTGGAGAGCAAAATGATAATCTTGAGTACACATACAACACTCAAATGTCAAAATGACTCCAAGTTTTATTTCTGCTAGTTTCCATGTGCTAAACATCTTAGAAATAATTTCATTATCTTTAGGGGCTTAACATCCTTTTCCTGCACTGAGCCAAAATAGGTTCACCAATACAGAAGACATAAGAATTTATCAAATAATTAACTAGCAGAGAGAAGGATAAAATTACTATTTTAGAACAAGCAATGGAATCTTTTCATGGATTTGTTATTGCTTGTAGATTACAAATTTTAATTGTGTTAGGTCTGGTGATATTTAATTAACGTACACTGAAGAACAAACATCAAAATGGGTTTTACATTATTTTTTGAGTAAAAATTATTTTGTATCGTGATAGAATACAGGGGAAAAAAAACCCCAGGGAAGGTTTTATAAACAACAAGAAGAAAACAAACAAACAAAAAGGTACCGCATGGTATAGTAGGAAGACAACGGTCCTGGAGTTGAAAGACTTTTGTTCAAATTCTGGGTCATTTAGGTCTAGCTGTATGACCTTACATTCTCTCAGTATCAGTTGTGCCTTTTTGCAAACTAATCTTATAGGATTGTTATGAAGATTAAATGAGATGCTGTATAGGTACATGTTTGGTTTCCCTGAGTTTTAATAATCACTTTTATTAGTCAAGACATGGAAATCTCCGACATAAAAAAGTTTAGGAGCTTTTAAAAGTGTGTGTGTGAGAACAAATAGTTTACTAAATAATCTTGGCTATTTTCTAACTGAAAACATGTTCCTATTACATAAGAAAAAAGGTAAAAATAGAACAGTGAGAATTACAGAGGAACAAATCTGTAACACATTTTTAATTTTTAAAACTTACTTTATTCATTTCCAAAAAAGGTGAACCTAGTTACAGTATGTTTTTGAATAGAGAGTCTAAGGCTGCTATGTCCAGTATAGTAGCCACTAGGTAAGATATATTTACATATTTTAAATATAATAATATGATAAATATTTAAATATAATTAAATATTCAGTTGTACGAGCCACATTTCAAGCACTAAACAGCCAACATGTGGCTAGTGTCTATCACATTGGACAGTGCAGATATAAACACTGCCCTCACGGCAGAAAATTCTTATTGGACAGAGCTAGTAGGGGGTCTTTCCTTATTACTACTACTGAACTGAGGCTAAAATCTAACTAAATTTCACTTAAAATGAAATTGTTCAACATTTTAGGCATATGTAACAGAAAAAATTTCCACTGCTTTTTAAGAAAAAGGGGGGTTTCATTCCCTTTCTCAAGCCCTTTGTAGTCTTTGCAGATAGTACAACTGTGATCAAGTCTCTGGCTGACGCCTAGTGTGTGTGTGTGAGTGAGAGAGAGAGAGAGAGAGAGAGAGAGAGAGAGAGAGAGAGAGAGAGAGAGAGACAGAGAGAGAGAGAGAGACAGAGAGAGAGAGAGAGAGGGCCTGGGGAAAGCGGCTTGAAAGATACATGTCATGTCTGGATTCTAGAGCCAGAAACAGGCATTAGAGCTGATTTTTAAAGCACTCCCCAATCCACAGAATAAACTCTTCTTTTTCCAAAGTCTACTTTTTTTAGTTAAGAGTTCTTGATAACAAGGAAATTAATGACTCAAAAGTGAAAGCAGCTAACAGAAGATTGAAAGCTAGAGAAAAGAAGTCCGACAGCGGAGGGACCCTAGGACTCAGAGGTGTGATCCTGTGGTGATATATCTGGGTGTTTTTTTGGCCTCCTAACATATCCTCACCTGGGTGTGAGAGCAGCCCACAACCTGGAAACTCCCAGGGGAGCGCAGACAAAATGACCCCCAAGAAAAGCCTCCTCTCTTTAGCCAAAGGACTGAGAAGAGGTTGGCTCTGCAGGACAGAAGCCTTTTGACTTCACCCACTCCATTCCAGGGGATCACCATGAAAGAAGCCAAGTTCCTCCCCCTCAGAACACTTTCTACCAAACCAGCCCTGCCTGAAGCAAAGAAGAGCAAAGAGGTGGCACCCCACCCCTAGAGAACAGGGGCAGGATTACAAAGAAGAGGCAGCTGGGGAAGGAGGGGCTTTGGCACATCCCTAGTATACCCATGTGTAAAACCAATGACAACCAACAGAGCAAGAACTTTGAGACTAAACTATGGTTTATGAAGTACCTCCCAGGTTCCAAATGAGCCTCTGGGTAGCATACAAGTGGGACAGACTAGATGAGTATTACAAAGGCATTGAAAATGAAATTGGCATTTGAATCACAGCCCATAGAAGTGGACTAGGACATGTGTTCTGAACCTAATTGGGTTAACTGCCTACCAAAATAGAAGATTTAAATAAGAATCATAGTCTCATAACATAATAATACTAAAAATGTGCAGCACAATATCCAAAAGTACTCTTCATACTAAGAACCAAGAAAATCTCAACTAAATTAAATTTAAATTTTGAAAGTTTAAAATACATCACTTCCACTCTACATGTTTAACCCCTTCTACAGGCTTCCTAATTCTGAATATCTTGAATCACTCAACTGAGCCTCATCAATTTTCCTTCCTTAATCGCTCTTGGTCTGGGTATTTCTTTCCCACTCCCACTTTTACTCCCTGCTCCAGGCCCCTGTCGCTTCCTAACTGGACAGCCCAGCTTCTATAGGATCTCTTTGCTTCTACTGCTTGCATCCCGACAGGCAACCCACCTGTGCACAGTGTCCACAGGAATTATATGAGCATACTGCTTGCCCTGTATCATTGCTCAAAAGCTTGCAGTAGCTTTTAACTCTCTATACCCTAATATCTAAAGTACTTAGTTTGGCATTCTAGATATATTCTTCCTCAAATCAAATTTTCAGGCTACCACTACTGCAACCCTTCAAATAGCTGACTTTTGTATTATGCCAGTGTACCCTGCCCCCATCCCTGAATGCCCTGAACACTTATAATGTTTTGCCTGTGCTCCTCTGTACCTCCCACATGGGCCCCCTTCAGTCCTACTAACATGTTACATGCAGCCCTCTCTGGAGCACTGGCCTACAGTGACCTCTCATGCCCCGCATTAGTCTTCCTGGGCTCATACTTCTGTATTCTTGTGAGGTGCTTCTCACGTGTGACTTCTTTGAAGTTATCTTTCTGTTTCTTTATGTTATATTAACAGCATTTGAAAATTCATTTCACGGGCTGACTATGCCTTTCTCTCTAATAGGTTGGGAAGTTTAATGCATAGCAGACTGAACTCTATTTCTAGTGAACACCTCTTCTGCTCACCATTCACTAAGGTGAAGTGGAGAGAGAGATACGGACATAGTCAAAAAAATTTTTTTAATAAAATTATGCTTAAATTATGATTCCTGATATTTTCTAAACAGATGAAATCATAAGATTGAAAAAAAAAAGTCTGTTAAGGTACCTCATACCAGAAAACAAGTAAATAATAACAACCTCAAAGCATTATAAAAATGAGACAAAAGAAAAAAAAATATTTTTCTGTATTAAACAGTCCTACCTGAAACTAAAAGTAATGTGATATGAATTCAGAAAAATGTCTATAGCAACGTGTCTTACACTTTAATGAAGTACTTGATTCACCGTCCCTTGTGCACACTAGATGCTGAATATACTTTTAATTGGTGTGTTGATTGATTTTTCCAAAATTCAAATTGATTAGCCTAATATAAATATCCTTTTTGTCTTTATTATAGTCAACATACTTGGAGTCTATATATATTAAGGCTACAAAGGGTGTGAAAAGAGCTCAGTCGTTTATAAGAAAATTACAATCTTATTTGGCCTTACTTTTGTTGGAATGAATATTTACAGCAAACAGCACTAATTTAGATAAAAGTGTTAAATACATATAATTTAACAACCACAAGACACTCACATATTAACTGGTCTATTTACTCAAATTCCCTTTTGAGATGGTATGATTGAACAGGACTTTTTTTTGTGGTTTGCCAAAGAAATAATAATTGTTTTGGACATAAAACAACGGTATCATGACTTTGGGTACTCTTCATTACAAGGATTTTCATCATTTTATTTCTCTACATTGCAGTTATTCAGGAGTTTTTCATATTTAAACCATAGCTTAAATTTTTTTTTTTTTTTTTTTTGCAGTACGCGGGCCTCTCACTGTTGTGGCCTCTCCCGTTGCGGAGCGCAGGCTCCGGATGCGCAGGCTCAGCGGCCATGGCTCACGGGCCCAGCCGCTCCGCAGCATGTGGGATCCTCCCGGACCGGGGCACGAACCCGTGTCCCCTGCATCGGCAGGTGGACTCTCAACCACTGCGCCACCAGGGAAGCCCCATAGCTTAAATTTTAGCCATTGCTAAATTACCACCACTTATATGCACAGAAATGATTTAAAAGTATACATATGGAAAAGTACTGAAATATAAGCCTGTTCTCATCAGCTAGATAATATTCTCATTGAATTCTTCCATCTTCAGATAACACACTGCAGCGAAGGTAAACTGTAGTTCAGACATGGCACGTGACACTAAGCTCAAACAGCCTCCTGGAATTTTTTCATTTAAGTTACGGACACTTTTTGTCTTTTGTCTTTCTGGTGCCAGAAATCTATTGTGTATTAAGCTCAGATTATTTGGAAAAAGAACTATAATCATTGCAGGGATAAGGGTTTCCAAAAATAAATGTTATTAGTCAAGGTATGCAAGATAACGAAAGCCAAATTTTCTAAAGGATCTTAAAAATGACTAATATGGCTGCCATTTTCACTGTTATTTGGCATTTAAACTAGCTTCAAACAAACAAAAGATCCCCATTATGAGAAACTGAGGCAAAGGAAAAATAGGAGTCCCCCCAAATGGTTTATTTCTGGGAGAAAATAAGTACAAGAAAGTATCTCAGAACTGTTTACTCTTTTCAGGAATAGCTACAACTGGGGAAATTCAAGTCAAGAATAACTAGAACCAAGTATCAGAGGGTTGAATGCAGATGTGAGAAGTAATATTCTTAAGGAGAATCAAGATCCACTGGAATCTCAACATTGTTTGATAATATTATTATTCCTTGTCATCGCTGTTAAGATACATTATTAATCTATGTTTAAATATACATTATTATTTTGCATAATTTCTGGGGAGGTAGCATGGTATAGTAGTATGAACATTTATTCATTCATTCACTCATTAAATCATTAACTAATATTTATGAGCACCTACTACATGTCAGACACTTTCAAAGGTTCTATACAGAAGTGAACCAACTGCGAAAAATTCCCACTCTTATGCAGCTTATATTTTATGGGAGTAGACAGATAAACAAATAAGTAAAATATAAGTATGTCTCATGGTGACCAACACTATGGAAAAAACTAAGGCAGGGAAGGGGGATAGGGAATACTGGTGGCAGGGAACATTCCTTCTCTCAAATTTTAAATTGGGTGGTCAGGGAAGATCTTACTAAGAAGCTGATGTATAAGCAAAGACCTGAAGATGGTGAGGGAATAAGTCATGAGGATACCTTGGGGAAGAGTATTCTAGGGAAAGGGCATGACTAACACAGAGGCAATGAGGCAAGTATGGGCCTGCTGAGGAACAGCAAGGAGGCCAACGTGAGGGAACAAAGTGAGAAGAGGAGAGTAGTAAGGGGTGAAATGAGACAGGTATTGGGGAGCAAAACTGTAAACTAAATTAAGAATACCTCAGGGGACAGGGCCTAGCCTAAAGGTATAAATTCAGGGTGTACAGATAGCATTTAAAGCCATTAAAACTAGATGAGGTTTCCAAGGGTCTGAGTGTAGACAGAAGGAGGAGGGGCTGTGGCACCCCACTGTGAAGACCTGGCTGGGGGAGATGAGAAAGAATCAGCACCATCTGAAAAGGAGCAGCCAGAGAGGTAGAAGGGAAACCAGGAGAGCAAGGTGTCCTGAAGCCAAGGGAGGACAGTGTTTTGGAAGGATGGATGTCAAATGTTGCTGATATGCCAAGAGGGAGAAACCTGATATTTCGCCACTAGACTCAGCAATGTGAAGGTCAGCAGTGACTTGACAAGAGCTATTTTAGTGGAGTTGGTAGGATTGCAAACCTGGCTAGGGTGGGTTCAAGACAAAGAGATGGGAGAAACTGGAGAAAGTGAGTAGAGATAAATCTTTCTAGGAGTTTTGCTGTCAAGGAGAGCAGAGAATAGGGGTAGAAGCTGGAGGGGGTGGTAAGGTCAGGAGAAGATGTGTGTGTGTGTAATAAAAATAAACTGTAGCTTGTTAGATCCAACAGAGATAGGAAGTTGATGATGCCAGTAAGCGGACACATGTGAGAGCAGTGACCTTGAGTAAGTGAACTGGATAGGATCTTGAGTACAAAGGAAGGGGGTGTGGCAGGCTGAATTAAAATCCTGGCTCCACCACTGACAACTTTTGTGACTTGAGGCAAGATTCTTAACCTCTCTGAGGCTTAGTTTTCTCACATGTAAAGTGAGAATTTCCTGGAACTGTTGAGCAGTGTAATGTCTTCATCAAATAGTACTGTCTCATTGAAGTCCCAAGTTATACCTTTAATACTTCATCAGCAGGATGGGATATAAAAAGAACTTTTAAAATCTGCCTTTTTCCTAAGACAATAAACCCATATCTAGTATCTACTGAAATAAAAATAATGCTATGAAGTACACATTCACACCCAAAATAATGATAATCACTTTTTAATTATCACACAGTTGAGTGCTATTTCCGTTGTTCATGTTGCACATCTTTGGAACACGTGTTGGTAGAGAACAAAGAGGCCTTCCTCCCTGATGGATTCTGCCTTAATCCGCTTTTGTACCCTCTTGTGATGAGAGCTGAATGTCACTCGAATGGTACATCCTCTTAGATGTTTACAGAGGATGTACAGAAACAGCAAATAAGACGAACAAAACTGTAACAAAAAAATGCTCAGGAAAAAAAAAGGGTGGAAAGGGGCACCTTACAGAGCAATGCATTCCTGTCACTGGAACTGTTTAAACAAAGTGTAGATGGCCACCTATGAGCTCATGTACCTTAAGCCATGGGTGATTCAGCGCTTCATAAACAGTGATCCTTTCAGCAGGATCCAGCATCAGCATGCGGCGTACTAGGTCTTTGGCACTTTCAGAGATATGGCTCCACTGCCTTGGATTCATCTGAAGAGGAGGAAAAAGGAAAATTACAGTTATGTCCAGTGAGAAGTTAACATTCTCTGTTATTTAATATTCCTATGCTGCTTCAACAGGAATAAAATTCTTGGAGCAGGGTGGAGAAATCTGATTCTAAAGGCTTGCTTTCTAAGGAAGAAGAGGACAGATACAATTCTTTTTCTGTTGTTGTTCAATACATGAGAATTTGCAGGAGTAAATATTTGTTATACATGTTCTTCTTGTTATATATGTAATAATATTTTTAATAATTGAAGAATAGAACATTCATGATTCCAGGTTCTACCTCAGCTAAAATAAAGAGTCTAGAATGTAGACTCTAAAAAGGTTAGAATACTTTGATCCAGAAAGGACTAAAATAAAATTTAAAAATTTGAAGAAATATTTTTAATATTTTGCTTTTAAAACTTGGAATTGGCAGTAATTGTGAAGCTATGCAAAGTAGCTTTTATTAATAGGAGACCTTGGTCACTGTATGTCATTTTCAGTATTTAGGAAAAAATATACCATTACTAAAGGCCTTACAAAAAACCCAATTCACTTGTATACTGTTCTTAAAGAAGTTACTTTTCTTTCTCTTTTAGAGATGAGACAACTAAGCCACAAGGTAAATTAACTAAAGTCAAACAAAAAAATTATGAGTTGTTCCTAAGACACACAACTTGTGAGGAAGGCTGTGGAGCTATGAGGAAAAGAGTTGGAAGGCTCCTGGGAAAAGGGGTATGTCTGAGACCAGGAACCAGGAAAAAATGGAAAGCAATGCTTAGGGCTTGGAGTTGGGAAGGTAAGTGGGGACAGGAGGGTAGAGATGGAGTAGGGTCTCACTCCCTATTTAATATGAGGAAACTGACTGATTGGGTGAGCTCATGGGAGCTGCCTGGTGCCAGGAGCTTTACGCAATGCCATGGCTTTAAGTGGCAGAGACCTTTGTCACCTCCTAAGGGAGAAAGATGCAGAATAAAGTCCACAACAGGTTAAAGGCAAATGAAATCACAACTTGCATCACAGTACACATGAATCATTATGATCCCGCCAAGGGTTAGTATTAGACATTTCGCTCTGGCTAATGTAAGGCTTTGTTCTAGTAGACGTGGAGTGGAAAATGTTCCATTTTCTTTTTCTAACAGGCAGAATTCCAAACGATAGTCACTTCTCTTGTCAGATTCCTTAATTAAATGAATACCATGAGACTGTTGAAATATTGTCATCCTACTGAAATTGTGATCAGTTGACGAGTTTGAAATAAGGAAGTATGTGATTAGATGGGGCTTAGATAGCCTTGTTTCCTCTTCCCCATCTTGGAGCTGATGTAGTCTTTAAAGTCTGAATGATCTGTCCTCAGGAAAGGGGTTGAGAAATCATCTGAAAGTGGTGGTAAGACTTCTGAAGTGAATAGAGGTTGAGAAGTATACTCCGCAGTCCTTTTTATGAGGAAGCCCAATCCAGGGTTTTCTCTTCCTTTGGCAGAGAAGACTAGTTGAAATTAATTTGGGAGGTTGAGTACATAAGGGGGAACAAAACAGGGCTATAAAACAGTCTCACTTATTTGAATACTAAAGCCAGGCAGCTAAGGACTCCTGCTGTGTAGATACCAACTGGCTATCCAGAAATAAGTGATATAAGATGACACTGTATCTTTTAGAGACTTTGTGAAATATATTTCTGTCCTTTATAAAAAAATTAATTGAAATTAAATGTTAGCATATATTTTAGCTAAATAGTATTCTCCCATATTGACCTTAAAAGATCAAGTAAGCTAGTAAACAAGAATAAAAAGTTAAATTAAAATCATTTAAGACCAGTAGTAGTTTATAAACTATGACAATTTAAATGTACTACATTTAAAATATGTCATCAAAATTTTCTTGAAAATACTCATAGAGATCAAGGATTTTAATATTTATTTTGTTAAGGGCGACCAGGGTGATAAAATGATATTTTTGAGATCTGCTTCAAAATAATCTAGTAGCATGTGGAATACAGATAAAACAAGGCTGGCTGTACGTTGATAAGTGTTAAAGCTGGGGGTTCATTATACTATTATCTCTACTATTTTGTTTGTTAGAAATTTTCAGTAATAAAAAATGTAAAAATAAATGCAGACACAATCACAGCACAGTATTTTTTTTAAAGGCCCAATAGGTTCATCACTGATGGTAGAGATGGATCTATACTTCAAACTAAGATGCTGAAAACCTGAGGCTTTTGTAAGGAAAGCCATGAATATAAGTGAGAGGTGAGGTTAGCCAAGTAATAGTAAATACGAATTAACCTCAAAGCTTCAAACCCCCAGGTACAGAAATTATGGTATAGCTGCCACCATCCATCTGACTATATTATACTATAATGCTAAGAATAGGAAATTTTCAAACAAATTTTTGGACATATGTGAACAGTCCAAGTTTTTTTTTTTAAACAAAGAAACAAAGATAACTATTCAATGCTTTAAAAATAGACAAAATCAAATACCAGAAGCTGTTGGAATGAAGCACATTGCCTTGGAAACCAGGAAGTTAGCAACAGAACAAACACAAAAGAAGAATTCTATTATTAGCGAATGCTTATAACTCAAAAAGGCAGGTGGGAGATTTTAATATATGGTACCTACGTCATAAGCCGCTGTGAGGATGAAAAGAGTTAATATAAGTAAAGTGCTTAGAATAGTTCCTGGAACATAGTAAGTGCTATGTATGAGTTAGCTATCATTATTGCTAGTATTATTATTATGCTGATGCATTATTGTGTTTATTTTCATATGCTAGTATCTGTGATTTCACTTGGCAAACTTCAACCAGAAAGCCATAACCGTGCATTCCTGATAGCCACTTACAATTTCAAGGGATTGGAGGAGGATGATTACTTACAAGCAGTTTCCTGAGACTTTTAGTTACCTTGAAAGGATTGATTTTATTCCCCAGTGGTCAACTGACTCTAAGAGAAGCAGAAAAACCTATACTTAAAACATCTTTCTCTGTTAACAGAGTTTTGGCATATATCATAATCCAAATAAAATAAAAGACAAACCTGTATGCCTTTATAAGCTGATGGTACATAAAGCCCAAGGGAAAAAAAGTACAGACCATTCTCACCTTCTCACTTCCACAAGCTTCAGTTATGGCTTAAAGGATAAGGCTACAACTCTGAAACTACTTTACCTTTCATTTCTTTTTTTTTCTTTTTCTTTATTTGTTTCAAGTCCCATGTAAAATTCTAACATAACTGAGGAATTGGAAAAAAAAACCTTTAGGGGCCTCACAGTTTTGGAGTGTAGTGTTATATAAACCTGTGTGTATCGTTTTATGTTGCCAGGCATGGCTGAAAATGAAACAGTGATTCTGTTGAACAGAAAGTACATGTGTTAATAATAACGGGAGGAAAAAGAACTTCCTCAAAATAAGCTGCCCTGATTTGATATCCAGACACATACTCCTCTGTGCTTCCCATACAGAGCATCCTATTCCGTCAGCCATACAAGGTAGTACAGGGCAGTAAAGTATAAGAGCTCGGGTAGTGAAACCAACCTTAAGCGTATTTCTAAGAACCCCCTAGGTCTTTTTGGTATAGCCACTCATAATGTCAGTAATGACGTCTTAAATTACTTGGTAATGAAAGTAATAATGTACTAATCAGGAGTCTGTGAATAGTACATGCAGTTTCCAATTCACAGTAGCCAAAGATGAATATAAATATTTAAATCACACCAAAATGGCTCTAAATTATATTATGAAATGCCATTGTGATATTGGCATTTCAGTTTATCCTGGAAGGTAAATGGCAAATTTTTCAGCTGTGCTGGCTGACTACATAAAATGCAATAAAATAACATGTATGATAAAGCAAAATCAAATAAAGGCTAATAGACACTAAATCTAAAATTAAGATAAAGAGTGACTAATTACCTGGATGAAATTTCCATTTTAACTTTACAAATCAAGCAAAAAGTAATAAAAATAAAGCCCTTTTCTCAAATTACACAAAGAAGGGCCAAAGAAGTTTATTTTCCAGCTTAGCCTGAATAAGTGGGTTCAGTCACCAGACAGCTAATGGAAACTATAAAATCTGGGCACAGGTTTGTCACAAACACCTTACCCAGGGTAAAATAAAAGGTCAAATTTGCTCACAATAAATTCCAAGGAGCAGTCCAAATTCTTTCCCTGAGCTAGAATTTTATTTGAAATAAGTAGGGCACTAACCAATTTCTTTGACTTAGCTAAAGAGGCAGTTTTGCTAGAATGTACTTGTGGTAAAAAAATTTGATTTTAGTGTGGCTTTATGACTCTGAGAGCCCAGGACTCTTACACTGTTGATTTAGCACATGGAGGAAAAGGGGAACATCCATCTGATCTCTGGTTTTTACACTGTATCAAAGACGAGTGGGGACCCTGTTTTCTGGACTGAACACAGAGTTGGAATCCAAATACATGGGATAGACTTTAGAGGCAGCACAGAGGGAATGAGAAGGGAGGGGTGAGGCAATAGTTGTTTTAAAGCCAGTCACCTGGATGACAGTTCGGCCGATAGGGTCAAATTTATTTGAGGCCTTTGTTGCCTAACAAGGCTGGTGGATCAATGATGCAAGCATCTCTGACTGGGTGACTATGTGACAACCAGAAAGTAATCCAAAGACAGACAGCAACTTCAAAACACATTTTTCAGAATAATTTAATCTCAATGGAAAAATAAAACGTTCACAATATGTTACCTTATATTTTCCTTTAATAATGCCTTCAAACAATCTTTCCTTGGTTCCATAAAAAGGCAAACAACCGCTTAGCAGGATAAAAAGGATCACGCCACAACCCCAGACATCTACAGGTTTTCCGTAAGGCTCTCTCTTGACAACTTCTGGGGCCATAAAATGAGGTGTTCCAACTCGTCCTACATTTAAAATGACAACATCAAGGAAAAATGTTTACATAAAATGGGCTTTTTGTTTCCCATTTGAAAACTGAAAATACGAGAACAATAACAGTGTGAATGACAAGGTTAACAATGCAAATATTCTCTTACCACCTCTCCCCTCCTCTATAAAATCAAGGAAAAAAGGCAGAAAGAAAAAAATTTTTATCTAATCACGTCTTGAAAGTATTGAGCCCAGGAGAGGTACTTTGTCTTCTAACACTGTTACTTCCTACTGAATTCCATAGGATGCATGGTAAGTATTTACCTATTTGTTGCTTCATGAAGAAGTTGTTTAAATTTTCTAATTTTCACAAGTTTGAAAATTACTAAAAATACAGAGCAGAGGCAGGGGCGGGGGGGGGCAAGTGAGAAAATATCTGTAGAGGAAAAGATTACTTTTGACTGTCAAATAGAAATTCTCAAATTAAACCTAATGCTTAGAACTTTTATTTGGAATATGAATCTGAAATCCTGTTCGGTTGATTTTAGGAATTAATTGCAGCAATTACCAATGGTTAGTAAGATTTTGTTAATAATAAGATTTTTTAGCTTCCTCCAAATGTTAACATTTGAACAGAATGAGAGCAAATATATGACATAAACCAAAGTAAAATCATGAAGCTCCTCCCATTCAATCTTCTTTGACTTCTATCTTCTTTGAAACGCTTTTTTCTTTTTTTCCTATCAAAGTTAGGTTTCAGGAAGGAATCTGAAAGCAGTTGTTTCTACACTAGTAACCATCTTTAACTCACCATCCCAAAAGAAGTCTTTTCTTCTACTGGAGAACGAAAGGCTTGTACCCTGTAGGGAAATTACTGTGGGAGGGGAACTGCCCACCAGACTTGGCAGCTCTTCTAGCTCTATGCAGGCTCCTCCTCTCCTCCCTTTCCCTCTACAGCCCCACCCTCATCATCACGAGTCCAAGATAATTTTTATTTTGAAGCTTGCACAAAACTTTATGTAGAGCTCAGAACTGTGATCAGAGTTTAAACACAGACCTCAGAGATCTTCTAATCCAGCTAGAGAGAATATATCATAAAAGTCTTGTTGGTGATTGTCAAACCTGGTTGGGATGAGAAGGATAAAGCAGCTCTTAGCTTGTGTCCTGGGAATATTCCTTTGCTGCAGATCATAATGGTTCCTCTCCTTCCCCCATAATAGAAGAGATAAAGTTCAGGGTTCAGGGAGTGAAAATATTTTTATTTAAAATGTATAGTAGATCAGTGAAAACTCTACTGGTTAGAAGGAAAGATTTTTATTTCCATATTGCCCCATTTAGTTTCCTCAAGTAACAAAAAGAAGTTGAAATGATGAGAACTAAGCCTTCTACTTCATTAATAGCCTGGATAGGGCAGTGCCCTTGGAGAATTTGCCTTGGTCTGATGGACAGGAGCTGGTAAGAGTAGGGAAAAGCAGGGTAAGAGATCAGAGTACTGGTACCAGGGCACCAGCCAGGTACCTGCTGATGGTTGGGATACTGCTTTGAAACTCAACTTGACTCCTACTATTTCCCTTACAAGGCAGGACCAAGCATCTCAAAATGTAGGCCTCAATCTGGGACTAGTCAGAGCCACCACAGCCAGCCCCAGACATCCAGGGGAGGTTCTTTCCATTTATCCATATTGAAGACTACCCTGGTTCTGGAGAATTAGGGTTCATCCTTGAGGAATATACATGTCTTTTGGTTCAAGAATCTGCTCACAGATGAAAGGGGAAAAGACCATGGTAGAAAGAATACACAGGAATGATTTTTTTATTGCATGAAGATCGGGAGGTGTGAAAGGACTGGAGTCAACCTTTAACATACACCAACCTCCTCAATTTCCTGGTTTGTGATCACTTGACTTTTCCTTCTTTGTGGTCACTTGATTTTTATGACTTTGACCACAGAATTCTAAGAATGGGAGGCCAATTACCAAGCCAAATTAAATGTCACTGTATATGAGACACTTCCGATGTACATTTAAATGTTACCTTTTTTGATAATATAATAAAAGCTTATTACCTAGAACCTCAGGGTGGGGAGAGCTGTTCTGAATAGGTACGCATTCAATACTTTAGGACCTGGATCTTTACGCACCGAAACCTTTTTACTTTAATAATTTTGGACGGCTCTCTTTGTACAATTTCCTGACTTCTCTTACACAAGATGCTGTACATAATTTAACCTCTTCTTGATGACTCAGAATTATCATTGTGGATACCAATGAAAGAACTCTGGTATGGAACCAAAATCGCCCTTGGGAACTTCAGAGGTATGCAAGGGTTCATTTCTTCAGTACCAAAAGGCTGCTGTGCTTTCCAACTTTTGGTGTCTGCTCAATGTATTTCTTTCTGTCAGGCTTTCATTTCTTTTCTTTCACTATGCTTACTCTAGCCTTGTCTTCTCCTAATTTTTGCATAAAATCTGCTATAAACTGTAATCTCATTAGAAACCAGATTCTTTCATTTAGTAAAAATTTCCTAAGTGCCTGCTAGGTCCCAGACACAATCTACGACCACTGTGGGCATACAAGAGATAAGCCATGGTCCCCCCCTCTTGCCCTCACAAACCTCAGTCTTTGATATAATTACAAATCCCTGCATCAAATGCTACATGGAGGTATGTAGCCCAGATAGCTATGGTAATATGGGAGAGAAGGAATAGGGTTACCTCACTTGGGATGGTGAAGATCAGCCTGCTTTTAAGAGATGACTGTTAGCTCAGCTTTCAAGAATACTTAGTTAACTAGATACATAAAATGACAAAAGGCGTTCTAACCAGAGGGAAGAGCAGGTGCAAGGTATGAAGGAACACGAATCCACAAAAGTTTCTGAAAAATGGAAGCATGTCAGCCTCAGAGTGTGTCTTTAGATGCTCACTTGAGAGAACCATGAACAGGTATTAAGGGCAGGAAATGCCTTGCTGCTATTATAATTATTTCCTAGGTTCCTAGATATATTCTGGATAAGTGAGTTTTCCAAACAACTGAGTTTCAGATAGGGGAAGTGTAAATATACGTAAATGGTTTTTACTATATGGAACATATAAAGGAGAGAATTCCTTTCTATTTGGAGGACTGAGTGATCAAAGATTCTAATCTGACAGGAAAATAGCTTTCTGTTAAATATTAGCAAATGAGCTGATAAATAGTAAAATTTTTAAAAGTATTGATACCTTAAACAACATGAAAGCTTTTTATAAGAGAAATCATTTATCCCTTATCTACATCTGTAGACTGTATTTTAAAAGACATTACAATGCTTGAAGTAGTTATTTCAAGACTGCAAGGAAAGGTATGTTTAAGAAACGACAATATTTTGACCATCACAAAGCATTTTAATTCTAGAAGAATTGATAAAAATAAATTTTGCATAACTGACACACTGTGGGTTAAAAATCAGCTTTAAAAATATACAATTTAGGGGAAAGATTCATGGACTTTAGGAAAATAGATTAACATGTAAAAAATGTCTGGGTAAATCAAATGAATCCGTTTTTCCCCTTCAGTTGAGATGCACAGTAAAATATGAAGCCCATACCATTTTAAATACTAACAGGATGAAGATCCAGACCAAGAGAAACAAAGACACTATAATATATATAGCATATAAAAGGAATATAGCATATATTATATAGCATATATAGCATATAGTATATAGCATATAAAAGGAATTCGTTTTATTTCATATCATCCCATCAACCGTGAGGATGCAATCGTCAGAAATTATGTGTTATTTAATTGTGTAGTCTTAACATGGGGGTGAGTTGTACAAATACCGGATTTCAGAGAGTTAGTTCAACAGCAACGTTTGTTTAAAAACAACAATTTAAGATTTGTAGTTGATTGCACGATTAATATGAGCCAGCAGTGTTACAGCGTTGTCCAAAAAGCTCATGCAGTTTGGGGAGCCTGACAGAAATGTAGATCCACGGCAAAAGAAGTGATAACCTCAAGCTTCTGTGCGCTTGGAAGTACCTGTATTTGTGCTCAGTTTTGGCTCTGTACTTGGTGCACAGTCAGGAGACTCTTAACCACTTTATGTGAGGAATGGCTAAATTAACCTAGGCAAATTAACTTGGATAGGACTTAGGGGAACATTATAGCTGTTTTCAAGCATCTGAATGACTATCATATGGAAGAATTAAAATTGTTTACTGTGGCTCCAAAAGTCAGAATTAGGACCACTGGGTGGAAGTTACAGGACGACAGACTTCCATTCAACGCAAGGATGAACGTTTCAATACTTAGGAGCTTTCCAAAAATGGAATGAACTGTCCTGGGACACAGTGAATTCTTTGCCACGTGAGGAATTAAACTAGAGCTCAGCCCTTTGCTGGGAATTTTATGAGAGAATTCAATCATTAGTTACAAGACTGGAGAAGTTAAGGCCCCTTCGAATTCTGAGATTCAATGATTCTGTGATTAAACTGTTCTTTGTTACCTGACCTTATGGTCAGTCCTCTAATCACAGATGAAAAATTTCAAAACTTTTCATTAGTTTTGAATTTACTAGTTCATTAGAATTAGAAGGAAAAAAATCAGTTTTCAAAACTATACTCAACTTGCAGTTTCTCAGATTCTTGGAAATGATTAGAAGAAAATGCAAAACTAGAGGGCTTCCCTGGTGGTGGAGTGGTTGAGAGTCCACCTGCCGATGCAGGGGACACGGGTTCGTGCCCCGGTCCGGGAGGATCCCACATGCCGCAAAGCGGCTGGGCCCGTGAGCCATGGTCGCTGAGCCTGCACGTCTGGAGCCTGTGCTCCGCAACAGGAGGGGCCACAACAGTGAGAGGCCCGCGTACCGCAAAAAAAAAAAAAAAAAAGAAAGAAGAAAATCTAAACACAATTTAATTTTAGAGGGCAATGTGGTAAAATAATGATTTAAAGAATACAACTATGACTCATGGCTCATTTTTCAGAAGATGGTCTATGTTAATACTGCTTCAATGTTTTAGTAACAGTGAATTAAATGAAATATCCTGTGTAAAAGATTATTATTTTGATATTTATCATTTGTTAGGTATTTGAATTTAATACTGTTGATATTGTTCCTCTTTGTGAAGGCTGGCAGTACTTCGAGATGGAAAATATAAAGCAATGACTAGAAGATTGGTAGTCTGCAGAAGGGAGAATTAAGTAATCTGCAAAACTAAAGAACAAAACTAAAAACAGGGCAGCATTCTGAGCTGGAATCTACTGCAAGGAATAAATAAAACCAAATACTTGAATCTGTAATTACCATCCACCTTTGTACACTGGTGAAGAAAGTTTCCATTTGAACTTTTCTTCTTTTGTTTCTGGCATGGGAATTTTCTAATTATGTTTGTTTTGGCTAATAATAAAATCAGTCTGTACTCACATCTGCTTGCTCTTCCCAAATACACAGATTGATGGCTTGAGTGGGACTCTTTCACAAGTGGAAAGAGGAAAACAGTGTGAAATTAAAAATTAGCCATAGATGTAACCTGAAAGTAGTTAACACATTTTAGATTTGACTTCGTTTGGCCAGTTCAACTTTAAAAGTCACTTTGCCTCAAATATCATCTTCTTCCAATACTGTTTTAATCTTTGTATGTTGGGTCTCTTCCCTGTTAAGTGTTGGGGATACAAAGAGTAAAAAGACAGAGTCTATTATCTTAAGGGACTAAAATTCTAATTATGACTACAGAATTATTAAATTCAAAACTACATTATGGCACTTTTGTGGGTGGGTTAGGGTGAGGTAGAATGTGGTATGAAACACTGAGGATGGACTAATATTTAGTCTGAAAGTTTTACACCAGCCTGAAAGTGACGAGGTTTTGAAGGAAATTTTAAAAATAGTGTTCTTACCTCCAGCTACAAGTCCAGACTCCCCTAATTGAATAGCTACCCCAAAGCCCCCAAGTTTAACAGGTGCCGAGTTTTCCTTTGAGGCAAGGAGAACACAGTGGGGCTGAAAAGAAAAAACAAACAAACAAACCAAAGTTAAGGATTAACTGAAGACGAACAATTCAATTTACACAAAACCGAATAACATGACCATATTGTAATACTTTAAAAACTGGAATTACTTTGGATGCTTGAATTATTTCTCTATTCTCACTTCTGGCTGATTTCTCCAAAGACTTACCTGTTTTATCCAATATTTTTCAGGAATTATTTGTTTCCAAGACTAGGGTATGGTGCTAGGAATTACTTAGGAAGCATGGATGTTCAAGACAGACATGTTTTCTGCCTTTTCATGCAATATTTTCTTCCTTTGAGTGACACTCTACATTTAAGGAAAAATATATTTTATACCTGTGTTTCTTGTAACCTCTGACTTGACCTACAGAGCCACTGTATCTTGGCCCTTAGGGGATGTTGACGGCCCTTTCTTTGTCCACTCTCCCACCATCCTATTTCTTTTCTTTATTCATTCCACCCCCAAGTAAGAAGAGTCAGATTTAATGACTTTAACTGAGCCTGGCTCCTGGGGAATTCAATGCTCTTCCTGGGGTCTTTTCTCTGGACCTGCCCTTCCTCTCTGTGGGAATGGGAGGTGAGAAAGGAGAAGGGGGAAAGGAGACTACTTGGCTGGCCTCTAGTCCAGGGTAAAGACAAACTCCCCGAGGAGCAGCTGCTTGACCAGGGCTAAGAATCATATGCTTTGTGGTCACAATGAGAGTTTCTTTGGAGGAGCTTGTCCTCTGCATCTGCCTCTTTCTGGGACCTTGTTGAGGCTGGTGTCAGGAAAGCATTTAATTGTAGGGAACTTTGGTCTCTGCTCAAATACTATGCTCCCCAACATGACTAACATTACATATGCTATGACCTGTTCTTAAAATACCAGTTAGTGAAAAAGGTAAGCCTCTTCAGGCTTGGAAGATAAAAGTATTTTTTATTCTGTCCTATACTTGCTCATACATAAAATGACACAATTTTAGTTCAGGTTTAGCCTACATGAGAGTGGGCATGAAGAGACCTGTGCAATAAAACTCTGAGCTGGTACACCCGGAGAGATGTTTGATGATGGATACGCAAAAGTGGGAGGGATCCTTACGCTGCCCAATGAAAGCATCAGGGTTCCACTCTGGAAGTTACTTTTTGTCCAAGGCTGTTTAAAGACCTTTACGATAGAGTCTAGCGCAAAGAAAGATGAGCCCTTGAACATAAATGTATGTATGACTGTGTATGAGTTAGAGAAAGAGAGGAGAGAAAAAGCAAGTGTACAGGAATGGTGAGCAAACTGCAGGAAGACACAAAGTAGCCAGAAGGGTCTATGGAAGAACAAGCAAACCTCTATAGAAACCAATTGATAAAGAGTGCTCTCCCTCAATGAGAACTTTCAGCTGGTTCAAATAGAGATCAATGACAACAGACCTGAAGAAAAAAGCAATAGCCCTGGCATGATTGTAGTGTGGGGCACAGCAAATGAACCAGCCTAGAAAAGGGTGGCCATGATGCAGAAGAAGAAAATACAAACTAGACCCAGACAGGGTTTCCTGGCCAGTGTCTTCAACACCTTCTTAGGAAGGAATAGTAGAAGCTTAAATCAGAATCCCAGAGTATATACTTTATATAGTTTGTGGACTATATTTATGCTTAAGTTAATGTTACACTGAGATCTATGTATCCAGCAGCGCATGGATTCAGTCACTCTCAACAAACGCTTAAGTGAGATAAGTCATAAAATTGGAATTTAAGATAGAGAATAAACAAAGAAACCAACATACGTAAATGAATACAAGACTAGGTAGTGTTAAGTGCTATGAAGTAAAATTAGGCTGGTAGGGAAGTAGGTGTGACAGGTTTGAAGACTAGGGAGCTGCTATTTAATAAGAGAAGGGGTGTCAGAGAAGGCCTCTCTAATAGGGTAATATGTGAACACAGACCAGAATGAAGTCGCAGAGCAAACCACATGGAAGCAAGATCTTGGTGTGGAGGATAATAAGTACAAAGGCCCAGAGGCACGAAGGGGGTTGGTAAGTTTGGAGAAGAGTAAAGAAGCCAGTGTGTTGGGAAAGGAATGAACAAAGGGAAGAGTGGTGGAAAATGCGATTCAGATGATCAAAGACCCTGTGGTCTAGGGTTTTGAAGTCAAGGCCAGAACTCTGGGTTTTAGGCTGAGCAAGATAGAAAACCACTGGAAAGTTTTGAGCAGGAGAGCATTAAGATGAGTTTTAGGTTTTGAAAGGATCACTTGAGCTGCTGCGTGGAGAAGAGATTGCAAGGGCACAAGTGTGGAAGAAAGGAGACCAGGTAGGAGGCTTCTGCGGTTGTCTATAATGATTTATAGATTTTTAATATTTTTGATGTGTTTTAATCAATTGCAGTCATTATTCATTTTCATGCTCGAATTGTCCTGTTTTTGGCCAGTGAGAGCCCCTACTTAAGTCAGCTTTTATGTCCTTTTGTAAGACTCTAGGAGTCTGATAACTTCCTTGCTTTCAGGCACAAGGTGTTCAAGGCTTGTCTTGTTCATTTCTTGCCCCAGAATTGGAGCTGGCCATTTCTCCAAACAGTCCCATTTCTGTTTAGTGGGTAAAGGTACTTAAATCCACAATATGGATATTAGGTATAGTACTGCTATTAGGTTATCGCCGCTTCGACTCTTCAAGCGGACATAGCTAAAAATTACTTATTTTTTAGAAGGAAAAACATGAATCACCAATTCATACTGATGCTTCTTCCTACTCAATTATAGTTTTTAATTTTACTTCTTCGATTTTGTCAGATAATGTTGGTACCTAATGACATTAACATAATCATTCATTTGCTTTTTCCTTTAATGTGTGTGTATAAAAGTTTCAAAATAACAACATTTCCATTACCAGTAACAACAAAACCACTGTATGCTGTTTAGGATTTCTTCGTGATTCTTTTTGTCAGATGTATCAAAATACTGTTTTACTATTCAACAAAGTAAGAATTCATGAGTCTATGCTGATGTAAATAAGTAAATGAATGGGGAGAAGGAAAAGCTTTCCTTTAAGTAGAAAATCAGTTCATAAATGTAGAATAAATTCTGGCATTAGAAAATCACCATTGGGCAGTTATCATCGTAATAACTGAGTCAGATAAGAACCAGCAAAGGGTTCTAACTAGTGGGTGAAAGCTTGAAGAGTGACAGGATGTTTGTATAATCTCAGAGTAGCTCCCCACAGGATACTTACTAAGTACAAAAGGTAAAATGTTAACATATGGGGAATCTGAGCGAAAGGTGTCTGAAATTCCTTGTACTTTTCTTGTACAATAACTTTTCTGTAAATCTAAAATTATGTAAAATGAAAACAAAACAAAACAACCCACCCTATTTTAAAGTCACTTAAAAGAATTCTCCTTGTGGTTATACTTTCAATTTGTTACATAGTGAGGCCAATTTGTTTTAATTAGATTTTGACTTAATTTGGTGTTTTAATTATACAAAACATGTACACAAAGTTCCAAAGGCAAAACCATAAACAAATACCTTTCAGAGAGGCCTAGCTTTTGTCCCCTCTCCTCATTTCTCTCACCTCATTGGCATTAGTTTTTGGTTTATCCTTCCATTGTTTGGTTTTGTTTTGAAAATGAGACAATACATACAAATACTCAAAATTTTCACATAACAACACGTGCATTAGATGACTCCATAGCATTACCTAGACATCTTCAGGGAGGTTTGTTTTTTTGTTTTGTTTTTTTAAAGAGAAACATTTGCGCGCTGATGGGAAAGATCCTGTAGAAAGGAAAAAACAACCCCAGAAGAGAAAGGGGATGGGATATAATATGCAAGTGGGAAGGGGGTTGGCCCTAGTGACAGCGAAGAAGGCAGGATACAGGGGCACCTGTAGATGCAGGCAGATGTGGATGTAAGAAGATGAGGAAGTTCTCTTCTGAGCACTTCTATTTTTCGTTTACTTGAAATAAAAAGTGATCAGCAGGTGGAAGTGAGGAAGGAGAGGGGGTTGTTGGCAGAAGAGTGAAGGTGTGAAAAGGGTTTTCAAAGAACATGAAAATGAACTAAGACAGTGGTTGGCAAACTTTAGTATCATCATCACACAGATCTGCTGGCCTACATCCCCAGAGTCTCTGACTCATAAGGTCTGGGATGAGCTTAAGGATGTGCACCTCTAATAAGGTCCTGAGTGATGGTTTTTTTGTTTGTTTGTCTTGTCCTGAGTGATGTTGATGCTACTGGTCTAGGAGCCATACTTTTTGAGAACCACCAGACTAAGGAAATATAGCAGGACTGTTGGCAGCATAGGGGCCCACTCGAGGTTTGTGGTCGTGAGTTTGAAACAAGACCAATCAGCACTCTTCTGTGTTTGTACCCAGCAGTCCTCATGTTAGCTGGTGAGGTTCAGGCCTGGAGTGGGTGGTGAGCTGAATTTAACAAGGGTTGGGATCTAGATAAGAAAGGCCGGTAATATCATAAATGGATGGCACCAAACAAGCATATCCATTTATTTCTTCTTTTCTACTTCTATCTTTTGTATAAATAAAAAGCTAAGATATCAACAGAGTTCAAGGAAGAGGAAGGGTGAGCAGAAGAGCATGTATGGGAATAAGCTGAGAACACCAAAACAAAAAGCAGAAAGTTCAGAATGAACAGGAAAAAGCTCATATAAAGGAAGAACTAAGAAAAGCTTACATTCAAACCTGGTCACAGTAGGGTCATCAGGGAACTGAAGATTAAAACAGAATTAGTGTTTTGAAAAGGGATGGCTTAAGTGTGGAAAAATAGCTAGCATGATAAAAATTTTATATTAGATTTTATGAAATAGAACATATAATAGATAAACACTATTTAGTCATTTAAATAAATCCTGCCAGGATCCCGAAAAGATATTTGTACACTTATGTTTATTGCAGCATTATTCACAATAGTCAAGAGGTGGAAGCAACCCAAATGTCCACTGACAGATGAATGGATAAAGAAAATATGGTATGTACATACAATGGAATATTACGTAGCTTGAAAAAGCAGGAAATCCTGTCACATGGTACAACATGGGTGAACCTCAAGGATATTATGCTAAACGAAATAAGCCCGTCATAAAAGGACAAATACTGTACGATCTGACTCAAATGAATTACCTAGAGTAGTCAAAAATCATAGAAAGTAGAAAGGTAGTTGCCAAGGGTAGGGGAAGAGGGAGGGGGGGCTAATGTTTAGTGGACACAGACTTTCAGTTTGGCAAGATGAAAAATTTCTATATATAAACACAACAATAAGTATATTTAACACTACTGAACAATATAAATATACCTTATAAAGTATAACAATATAAGTATACTTTTGCACAGTATAAATATACTTAACACTACTGAACTGTACTTTTTAAAATAGTTAAGATAGTTAATTTAATGTTATGTTTTTTTAACAACACACACACACACACACACACACACACACACACACAAAAATTCCTCCTAGACCAATACAGTAATCATCTTCCTTCTCAGAAGTTCTAGAGTGAAGTAAGAGCTACAAAATATTTTTATTCTGGCAATTTAAAAATATTCTGTCCCATGTGTCATATTTATAACAAATTAAAAGCTCTGGAGAATATGATGTTTAGAAGAGTGTATGTACCCAGAAATAATTAGAATGTTAGATAAAGCCCAATGAGTTAAATATTTAGTGTAAAGTAAACAAAGCTACAGGGTAACAATTATGAGGAGGATATTAACTAACTTCTTCATTTCAGATGACAACAAAAAAGAAGAAATGACGTTAAACTGCAGGGCCAACAGTTACATAGAGGGACAGATAGTGGTTAAATATTGGACTAGGACCACAAAAAACCCCTGCAGAATTACTTCATTATTTTCTTTAAAATATAGGAGATATTTTAATTTACTTGGGAGAGTTCATCATGGTGCTAAGAAGGAGAGAATACTATCACAAATTTCATCTAACCCTAAAATTATAAGATTGTTTTAGAAAATAAATCCAAGGCCTTAAGGGAATACATGAAAATATACTAAAATAACACACAGATCAAATAAACCTTTTAAAAAATAATAAAATAATTCATTACTCATGTTACTATAATGCAATACAGGTGTCGACTTAAAAAAAATGCACGGGCTTCCCTGGTGGCGCAGTGGTTGAGAGTCCGCCTGCCGATGCAGGGGACACGGGTTCGTGCCCCGGTCCGGGAAGATCCCACATGCTGCGGAGCGGCTGGGCCCATGAGCCATGGCCGCTGAGCCTGCGCGTCCGGAGCCTGTGCTCTGCAACAGGAGAGGCCACAGCAGTGAGAGGCCCGCGTACCGGGGGAAAAAAAAAAAAAAAAAGCACAACGTGAGAGTTGCGAGTTACGTTTTATTGGGGGCAAAATGAGGACTGCAGCCTGGGAGACAGCATCCCAGATAGCTCTGAGAAACTGCTCCAAAGAGACAGGGGGGAAGGTCAGTGATTTTGGTGAAGGGGGAATACATACAATCAAGCACATATTTTTTACAAAAGGTTTCTGCTAGTCTCGTGCAGGTTACTGCTAGTCACGAGGAGCAGACGTCACCATGAAGGATTTTAGTGTTTCTCTAGATATGAGATACAAGAATTGGGCTCATACAATTGTCTCCTGAAAATATCTAACTATCTGAAGCCCTGTTCTGCCAGTTTTCCCCAGAGCACAGAGGGCCTCATTTCAGCTCTCCACCCTGAACTCCTTTCAGGGCGTGTTGAAAGTCAGCAGCTGCAGCAGCACATGATTTAATCCTTGTAGAGGTAGATGGCAAGTGCCAATGGAAAATGCCAATTTTTTGTTGACACAGGAATGCCACTTTATGTGATTGTTAGTTTCTAAAATGAATCCAGAAAGAAAGAGAAATTAAATGCTTGTGCTTTAAAAGTACATGTAGCATATTATGTATCATTAGTTAGGAGAAACAGAAAAATGCATATTTCTGCTTAGAATTTATAACCTTTATGCGGGGGGAAGGAGGGAAAACTTTTCACAATTGTCCAAGTGGAAGGTATTCATAGAAAAGATATAAATAATTTCTCAAAGTTAAGTGTCGATTAAGCTGAAAGATAAAGTTGTTGCATAGTGGTAGGGTTTTTTTTTTTTTAATATTTTCACAAGGAGTCTAAGGGTTGTCATATTGAAAAAAGAAAGAAAAGAGAAAAAACACACCTACCACCACATGCAAATATAAAAAATAAAAAGACAACCCCAACCAATTGCACCACAACCGGATGGAGGAACCCAGCTGACACACCAAGACGAGTCTCTGTGTCTAGGGAATCTTGGGGTTCAGCTCCTTTTACTTCAAGAGAGCCTGAACTGTGAGTATGCCTTGATTTCAACTGCATAATGATCCGTTTTTTTTAAGTTACATTCTGATTATCTGAGTAATATAAATGAAACCTGCTTCATGGTGACTAGCAACACTTTGTTTCTAGAAACCTGAGTAAACTGAATGATACCTCTGCCGTGACTTGACTTAAAATGAGGCTGTCTTCTTAGTTACTTGAAGTACTTTAGGACATGAGATATTTACGCTCATACTATCAATACTGTCACATTGTTTATACTGTATTTTGTGTACTGCCACAAAGACTTGCAGATCTACTTGAATCAATTAAAAGTTATTTTCATATGCAACAAATTTTATTTCCAGTGTATTATAAGTGATCTGTAACTTATTAACTTTATTAAGTTATGCTGACTCCCTATTTTCAATAATAGTATTTTCTTTATTATATGATTTCTATTTTATGGTAATTTACCAGACCAATTAAATTTTAAGTTTCGTGTTTCAGAAGTTAATATAGTGAATATTAGAGAAAAGAAAAAGCAAAATACCCTTTAGTGAATTCACCTAAAATTAAAAAATGTTTTAGCTACAGTTAAATTGATAACAAAAGCTAATGTACTACTAATATTCTTTCTAAAGCAACATGCTTTCAATTTTCACTTTGTATGCAGAAATTAGTGCAATTTTTAAAGCATGGCCTGAATGATTCAGTGATTATCAAGTCAAACTACAAACGTAAACGGCTGCTACCACTGCCAACTAGGTATGTATTTTAACATAGCAATGTGATGTTTTCACAAACATACCCAAACTGCATTTAAAAAGCTTTTGCTCATTGGAGGCCACAGTGGAATCTGTCGGGTCCTGCCCTCTAATACAGAAGCTCCTGTAGGAGCCAGCTGAAAAATTACAGGCAAGGGGAGGGTGGTACTGGTGGGTACAATGCAGCACTAATACAGGGTTGCAAACTTCAGGATTTGTCAAGTCACAACATTAAAAACCATTAACCATCTACTATCAGAAAACCACTGTGACCACTTCACACCAGTCACAACTAATGTCCACTAGGAAACTGGTTCCTATGTGAATGCAGTGGTTTGTTTCCTATCTTCACTGGCCATTCTTAACAAATCAAGTAAGTAGTTTTTAAAACATCAGTAAATGGCCTTAGGAACAGCGAGTGATTGACACATTGTAAAGGAGGCAGAAATCAGCCATTAAATTCCAAACAGAATCTAATCTGTTAATTTGTTAATAAATGACTGAACACTAGCCATTCAATACAGGGTTCTAAATGACAGCTACTACTACTATTTAAACAAATACATTCTTCTCTTTAAGCTTGAAAATAAAGCAAAACCAGAAAGGTTTATTGGTGATCTTGTACAACTATTATTTATTTATTTCATTTGCAGATTAGAGCTGAGGCAAATGGTTTCAGGCTACGTGCTTTGCGCTAATGGCTTTCTAGAAACATCTTGATAATGACAATCAGGCCTAGAAATAAGTTTGAAAAGATATGCTCTGGGGAATATGCTGAACATTCTGATGAATGATTTGTGATTCTGTAAACTCTGGACTTACTTACTTACTATAATGGACATAGCAAATAAAAAGGTTAGTACCTTTTCCAAAGAGGTAAAAGCTAGATGACAATCTTTTCTTAAAATCGCTAATGTGGATAATGCTAAAGGAATCATGTCAAAATGCCGCTGACAGAACTCATCATTAATAAAGAAAAGGCTGATCATATGTGATTAGGAGGAGTGAGGTTTGGTGAAAAGGATCATGGGCTCTAAAAGCTAGACGGATCTGAGTCTCAACTTGGGTACAGACATTTAAGAGCTCTGTGGTCATGGGTAACGATCAAAACATCTTTATCTTTCATTAATACCTACCTCACAAAGTTATTATAAGGATTATGTAAATGAAATAATATAAATGTGCTTAACACACTGTCTGGTACACAGCATATGCTAAATAAATATTAGTTACTGGTTTAGTCATCTAGCTCAAGGGTTCAATTCTGACTTCACATTAGAATCCCCTGAGGAGCTTTTAAAGGAAACCATTGCCTGGAGCCCATTCCAGACCAATTAAATCAGAAGATCTGGGGATGGAGCCAGGCATTGGTATCTTTAAAAAGCCCTCAAGAGGATTCTAATATGCAGCCGGGATTGAGAGCCACTGAGAGTCTCTTCTACAAAGTATCCAACTGTGGCAGTCTCAAAAAATCTTCCGTGGTAAAACCTTATTGCCTCCCCAAATAGATTGTTTCATTCTAAAAAAGCATTTCCTTAAAAGCAGGCAACATCTGTCTCTGCATTTTTACTCACTGGTCCTTCTTCTGCTTTCTGAAGACATACATTAGGAGGTGAAATGCTTTTCTCCATGGCCTTGAAAGTGTTCACATCTCCAGGTGCCTGTTTCCTTCCACTTGCTCCTCTGACATGATTTGGGCTCTTCCCCCCGCACTGGCTCTGTGGCCTTTTTTAAGTGTGCTGCTGAGGATGAAACACTGTATTCCAGGTGGAACCCTACCAGCTTAGGACAGTACCGATTAGTAGTGACAATCTTCGTTTAAGACACTCCATAGGTATGAAGTCAACCAAAGACAGGTTAGTTTTTGCTGCAGCCACGTCACACTGCGGACACAGCAACTGCAGTCAATTGCAATTGTGTTTTTGTTCATGTAGCTAAAGGCCTTCCTGTACTTGAATAGTTTATTTTAATATCCACATGTAGGACTTTACATACTTTTCTACTAAATTCCCTTTTTCATTCAACAGCATTTATTGTGCTAAACACTTGGTACACAGAGGCAAACAAAACAGACTTGTTTCCTAACCCTAATGGAGTTTTAAAATATAGCAATGGAGAAGAAAAAACAAAACAAAACAAAAACTCTATGACCTTTAAAGTCATTTCAGCTGTCTGAGCTCTCAAAATCGTGTCACCTGTCATGCCTCAGCTCACTTTCATCAGTGGCTATGAGATGTTTCTACCTGAGCCTCAGCCAATTCCCTATGTGACCACACAACACAGATCCCCTACAGGGGCCCTTCTCCTCTTCCTGGTAATCTACATTGCATTATCAGCTCCATTTGTGGCAGCCTGCCATTCTTCCTGGATTGCCCTTTCCTGTTTAGAATTTCAGATCACCAGAAACACGCGTGTAAGTTTCTATAAGCTTTGTGAAATCTGTCTCCGTGCAGTTGAGACACACGACAGACCAGGCTCAGTCCTCTTGCCTCCCTCCCTCCGTTGTCCTCAGCTCTGGTGACAGGCTCTTACCAGGGATTACATAACTTCCTCTTCACCAGTCAGTTCCTCTACCAAGGATTCGATTTCCCCCCTTGACAAAATTTTAAACAGGAATTTCACACTCTAATAAAATGGTTTCTTCTTGATCAAATTATAGGTAGTTTTAAGAAAGGCTAACTTCTTCCAAATGCTTTTCTCTGTGTATAAGGTCAAATCAGGAAATTAATTATGGTAATTCAAATCCACTGTACAGCATTCAAAGTTTAAATGCACACTCCTGAAAAAATATTTACCGGGAGCAGGGTCTCTGTCATTTTCACCTTCGTTTTCCAAGCAGTACTTAGCCAAGTGTGAGATATTCACTAAAACAAAATTAATCAAAAGGTGTTTTTTTTTAAAGCTAACTGTCATTGAACACTTATTATGTTCCAGGGTAAACATAACACTTGTTATGTTCCAGTTTTGTTGTTTGTAGAATGCATTTTTCCATTTCTACAAACAAAAAAACTAAGGCTTAGAAAAGATTAAGTTGTTGGCTGAAGGTCACAGAGTTAGTTAGGTCTGATTTTGATAACCTTGCCCTGAATGTCTTTATGACACCTCCTAAGAAGCTTCTGTGAAGAATTTGGGAAGTCACTCTAAGAAAGGAATGTGACAAGACCCTCTGGAATCCTCTCCTCACATCTCCTCTTTATGATGGCCTCTCAGACTGAACTCTTCACAGCAGCCAATGCCCAGCAAAGAGCCAGTAACAAATAGCACTGCTAACATTCTCTGCTGCCACACACAAGTGTAATTCACACACTATTTTACAAACAGTCTCACATGACCTAGCCCACGGAATATTTCAGCTGCAGTTACTTCCTTCCAAAATCTTTGTTTACACATCCTCTTTCCCATCTACATTATCACTCTATGTTCTATGCTTCTAGGTCAAGGAGACTCTCCAAGGTGCCTAACTGGCGGCTGTCACCACCTGACTTGGTTTTGTTTGGCTACTTTGCTCTCCTGTGCAGTGTTACGAGCCTGCCTAATGAGGCAAGTGCTGTGCTCTATTGGTCTGTTACGGTAATTGCATGCCCCCGTAGGCAAGTGATTTTAATACCCTCAACTTGGTGTTAGGTTGAAAAGGAAGAAATTTAGGACTATTTCCCCTATTCCCACCATGGAATGAGAGACTGCCATAGTTTATCTGTCACATACCATGTGGCAACACGTGTCAAAATGAATGAATGCCACCTATGAGGGAAAGAGTCAAGGCAGGAAGCTGGACAGGGGCCAGCAGTGGGCCCAGCTCACTCATGTCTGTAACTACCTTTAGGGAAACTGACACCCATCTTCGAAAAATATGAGCTGTCATTTCACCTCCATCTCTATTCCCATAAAAACTTCCCTAAAAGATGATTCCATAGTTCATATATTTGTTTTAATATAATAAATGAAACCTTGAACATTTATCATAGCATAGAAAAGGTCAGAGCAGGACATTCCACAAGATTCTACTATATGTGCTGCTTGTTTTGTGATACCGTAATGCTGCTACATATATTGTGTAGATATCCGAATGGTCCAAAGTAGGATAAAAGGAAAGCTTCTCACAATGTCTGAAAATAAATCATTTACTATTTGTGCTTTGAGCTAAAGTAATTGTTATTCAAATAACAAGTGACTCAATGTTTGGCATTCTGTTGTAGGAGAAATCTGAAGACATAAAAGCTACAGTCAAGGAACATGTCATTTAGCACCTTCACTTTTTGATCCCTACAGAAGACAATGAGAAGTCAGATGGTAACAATGACGACAACTTCAGTCAGCAGCTGGCCTTGCTCCTCCCAGGGAGTGCACTTTGTAACTAATCACAGCGTCCAATGGCCACACAACTTCTCAGGAGCCTCAAATTTTACTGCCTGTTCCATGGATGAAAAATTACTCTCTAATGTGTTAACAACATTCTACTCTGTTATTTTCATCGTGGGCCTCATTGGAAACATAATTGCCCTCTATGTATTTCTGGGTATCCACCGCAAAAGGAATTCCATTCAGATTTACCTACTCAATGTAGCCATTGCAGACCTCTTACTTATCTTCTGCCTCCCTTTCCGAATAATGTATCACATTAACCAAAACAAGTGGACACTAGGTGTGATTCTTTGCAAGGTTGTGGGAACACTATTTTATATGAACATGTACATTAGCATTATTTTGCTTGGATTCATCAGTTTGGATCGCTACATAAAAATTAATCGGTCTATACAACAACGGAAGGCGATAACAACCAAACAGAGTATTTATGTTTGCTGTATAGTATGGATAATTGCCCTTGCTGGATTTTTAACTATGATTATTTTAACCCTTAAGAAAGGAGGTCATAATTCCACAATGTGTTTCCATTATAGAGATAAGCATAATGCAAAAGGAGAAGCAATTTTTAACTACATTCTTGTGGTAATGTTCTGGCTAATTTTCCTACTAATAATCCTTTCCTATATTAAGATTGGCAAGAATCTATTGAGGATTTCTAAAAGGAGGTCAAAATTTCCTAACTCTGGCAAATATGCCACTACAGCCCGGAATTCCTTTATTGTGCTTATCATTTTTACTGTATGTTTTGTTCCCTATCATGGCTTCCGATTTGTCTATATTTCTTCACAGCTAAATATGTCGTCTTGCTATTGGAAGGAAATCGTTCACAAAACCAATGAGATCATGCTGGTTTTCTCATCTTTTAATAGCTGTTTAGATCCAGTCATGTATTTCCTGATGTCCAGTAACATTCGCAAAATAATGTGCCAACTTCTTTCTAGACGGTTTCAAGGGGAAGCAAGCAGGAGTGAAAGCACTTCAGAATTTAAACCAGGATACTCCCTGCATGATACATTCGCTACAGCTAAAATTCAGTCTACTTCTTAAAGCACTTACGGTAAACATATTAAAAAGAATGATAAAATACAGCCTAATTCCTTGAAGAACAAAAAATTATGAAACAAAGCTCTAGCATTTACAAAGCTTAGATCCTCCCAAAGTTCTTTGCTTATTTGTGATATTTCATTTGCTTAATTACAAAATATTTTAAGTGCAAGCTTACACTCACCACTAGATTTTAAATCTGTATATAAAATCTTTTAGGCTAACACTGTTAACATAGATTATAAAATTAAATGAAATTTATGGTTTTAACCACAGAATAATTAAAGAAAATGTTATAGTTTCTCAAGTCACTAAAGTAGCTATTCAAAATTAAGTACCTAATACTAATTTAAAGTGTGCTTAAAAGTTAACCGATTTGAGGACCGACTTAAAATGTCAGAAAATATGTTCATTGTCATTTAAAAAGCTTGTATAATTTGCCACTGTATTCATTTATGTCTAAACCTCTATTAACAGATGAAATAATAAAATTCTAATAAAAAATGAAATCACCCACTATCTATCACTGCTTAGTACAATAGGTGAGCTAAAATTCAATAGCCTAGCGACAGTACTTAAGACTGCACCTTACTTAAAACAGATTTATAAACAATTCGGCCATCTTGGACCATACACTTTGATAAAGCGAAATTGAAGATGTGTACACCCTGTGATCCAGCAAGTCCACTACGAGGTATACATCTTACAGAACCACTCAAACATGTATACAAGAAAACGTGTAAAGATGCTCAGTGACCTACTGCTCACAATACTAAACAAATGTAAACACCCTGAGTATGCATCAGCAAAGGAATGGAGAAAAAAACTTCATCTGCATGCATCAACGTGGAGAATTGGCAAAAATAATGTTGAATAAAAACCAAAAACTGCAAAGGGGTATGTACCCTATGAAATCACTTATGTAAAATACAAAACCACATAAAACAATACCGTATTCTTTACAGATCTATACATATGCAATAAAAATATAAAACATACGTCATAATATACACAAGCATATATACCAACTTAAGGTTAATGGTTACATCTGGAGAGATTTGAAGCAAACATGGCAAAATATTAATAATGTCTGTTAAACCTGTGTGGTAATACATGGGTATTTGTTATGTAATTTTTGGTATATATCTGAGTGTTTGAAATATTTCATAACAATAAAGAAAACCTGTAGGTTAGAATTAAAAGGAGCAAATTCTGAAATTTTCATGTATGTTCAAAAATAACTAGAGAGTAAGCTCTAAGAGAAAGGGCCCTTCGTATTTTTTAAAAAAATTTATCTTATTGAAGTATAGTTGATTTACAATGTTGTGTTAATTTCTGCTGTACAGCAAAGTGATTCAGTTATACACATATATATATATACATTCTTTTTCATATTCTTTTCCATTATGGTTTATCACAGGATATTGAATGTAGTTCCCTGTGCTATACAGTAGGACCTTGTTGTTTATCTATTCTATATATACTACTTTGTATCTGCTAATCCCAAACCCCCAATCCAGCCCTCTCTCATCCCAAGGGCAACCCCCTTGGCAACCACAAGTCTGTTCTCTATATCTGTCAGTCTGTTTCTGTATCGTAGGTAAATTCATTTGTGTCATATTTTAGATTCCACATGCAAGTGATATTATATGGCATCTGTCTTTCCGTTTCTGACTTACTTCCCTTAGTATGATAATCTCTAGGTCCATCCATGTTGCTGCAAATGGCATTATTTTATTCTTTTTTTATGGCTGAGTAGTATTCCATTGTGTGTGTGTGTGTGTGTGTGTGTGTGTGTGTGTGTGTACCACATCTTCTTTATCCATTCATCTGTCGATGGACATTTAGGTTGTTTCCATGTCTTGGCTACTGTGCTGCTATAAACATAGGGGTGCATGTATCTTTTTGAATTATAGTTTTCTCTGGATATATGCCCAGGAGTGGGATTGCTGGATCATATGGCAACTCTATTTTTAGTTTTTTGAGGAACCTCCATACTGTTTTCCATAGTGGCTGCCCCAATTTACATTCGCACCAACAGTGTAAGAGGGTTTCAAAAGGGCCCTCATTCATCACTGACTACCAGAGCATAGTTGCATTGCCTAGCACAAAGAAGATCAATACATATTTGTTGAATAACTGAATGAACGAGTGAGTGAATCGATGGATGAACAAGAAGGGAAGGAGGGAGGGAAGGGGTGCTTAACAGAGCTGAAAAAGTAGGTTATTTTCCTAGTCAACGTATCTAGATATAGCTGCAGAAAACGTCATACAATTGTAATCAGGAGATGTCATTAAGGCAACCATTCTCAAGTTTGGCCAGCATTGTTCTTTTTTTTTTAACATCTTTATTGGAGTATTATTGCTTTACAATGGTGTGTTAGTTTTTGCTTTATAACAGTTTTTTGATTACACACAGAATCAGAATGCTGTTGACTTAATATGTAAAAGCCTGTTATGACAAACTGCAAGGATCCATTCATAAGTTTCTGTCACAGAGTATGAGAATTTTTTTTTTTATACTCAGAATACTTCTTCAAACTTCAGGTAGGCCACTGACTGGGAAATCAGTATTAAAGAGTATGAAGAATTTCGTTAGGGCTGAATTTATTTTAATGAGATTTGGATTGTATACAGTTAGTGTTCAGTTAGTTGTATTTCAGTAAGTGTACACAAATGGTTGAACAAACAATAGGTCAAAGCAGAATTATATTTAAAAAACAAGAAACATTTGAGAATAAAAATAGAAATTTGGGGCTTCACTGGTGGCGCAGTGGTTGAGAGTCTGCCTGCTGATGCAGGGGACACGGGTTCGTGCCCCGGTCCGGGAAGATCCCACATGCCGCGGAGCGGCTGGGCCCGTGAGCCATGGCTGCCGAGCCTGTGCGTCCGGAGCCTGTGCTCCGCAATGGGAGAGGCCACAACAGTGAGAGGCCCACATACCGCAAAAAAAAAAAAAAAAAAAAAAAAAATTTGCAGAAAAATCAGAGGCTCAGAAAAAAGTAATAAATTTTATATTAATTACTGTGCTCTGACAATCGTTAACAAATACCAAACTGAAATTCAGTATTTCTGTTTGTATAATTTAAAAATATGACAATACTGATTTTCTCTCATGTTTTCAAAATTAAAATCTTTTTTACATTATTGGTAAACATTTTATATCCCTACATGTGTCTATTGTAAACATACAGTTTGAATGGTTAAATTACATTATCTATTATTATTACTAGTAGTAGTTTTATGGAACATTAAAAGAAACACATATACACTCATAATTCTAGAAGCTTTCTCATTATTTATATTAAATGAGATGATCCCTATAAAGCCCTGCACAATGGCATTCTTAAAAAAGTACAGAGTCAATTCTTGCTATAATATTTGTGATAAAATAAATTTTATTGAAAGTCAACCTATCTATAAGCTCCTAACAGATTTTCTTTACCGACAGAAGTTTCACTAATAACATACCTTAGAGTAAACTGACTCCTGAGAATGTTACTAAATTTTTAGAAAAATTTGCTAAACTAAACAAATTTAAGGCTATTTATTACATATAATCTTTTATTTCTTATTAAGCATTGGTGTACACAAGTAGGAAACACTGTCCCTACCTCCCCCAAGCCAAGATTTAGTTCTAGAAGCATACAGAAAAGGGAAATTCAGAAGTATATACATATTCTCACCTTGCAAAAGATCTTGAGAACAAGTTTCTAAATAACATCTCACATATGCAAAACCAAACAAGGGCATAATTAACTGCCTGGTTGCGAGAGTAAGACCTAAATGCTGAGTTTTGCTGTTAGTTTTGGAAAAGTATTCTGTGCAGAGCTGGGTTTGATAGCAGTTGAATTTCTATGATCAGGTCAATAGAAAAAGAAAATTCTGTTCTAGTACAGAAGGTTTTGTTTTCAACTTCTTTTTAAAATGGATTCTTCAGTCCTGCTGATATGAAAGTAGAACTAATATAATTACAGCTCTGTGAAGCAAAGCCTTACTGAAAAGTTATCCATAAGAGAAAAACAGCATGAAATAGAGTTCTCTCAACAGGCAGCCTGGATTGTGCAGAAACATGTTAACAGGCTAATTATTTTTTAGCCTTTTGAAGTATGAATGGAAACTTATTTTTACCAGATATTAAAATATATTCTTATCCTTCATTAAGGATAACACCGTGGAGCACATGCAAGGATAAACTTATCAATGGAACAGAATGCACAGCTCTACGCAGACCCTCAGTGATACATGAGAAAATTATATGACAAATTAATCACTCTCAACAGGGTAGGAGCAGGAACAAATCAGAGGGCAACCTAGGAGTCTGTTAGTCAAGATGTGCTAGAAGCTTGCAAAGTGGGGTTCAGTGAATTTTTTTAACATCTTTATTGGAGTATAATTGCTTTACAATGGTGTGTTAGTTTCTGCTGTTAAATGAATTTTTAAAAAGTTTGAGTGACTCTGATACACTTTCCTCCTTCAAAGAGAATTACTGCAAATAAAGGAGACATCACAAAGAGCATAGGGGAAGAAAGAAATGAATTAATAAATAGTGCTGTGCTTATTTAAAATAAAAGCCAATTTATAGCCTTGCCTCATATCACACCAAAAAAATTATAACTGGATCAAAGAGTTAAATGTAAATAATGAATGCATTAAAAGACTTAAAAATATGTGACTAACTCATCTGTGGAAGGGAAAAGACTTCCTATTAATAAAATAGAAATAACCACAGGAAAAGATGCATAGATTTGACTTTTAAAAGTAGACTATTTTTTTGTCAAAAACCATAAACAAAAATAAAAGCAAAAGCATAAAGTGAGAAAAATATTCACAACAGATATGACATTTACTGGAGAGTTTTTAATGTCAGGCACCAACGGACACCATAAACTTCCAAAGAAACTTGTATTTTTGATCAGAAGAAAGCATTTGAATCTCAGAATATAATCTGAACTATGACAACTCGAATGAGATAGAAACTCTCAAAATGGACGATGCAGTGTCCTTTTTCGTAGCTACATGGCCCAGTTGAGAACACATTCCTATAAGTGGCTGCTATAGTGCCTCAGTTCAGTCTGGTTTTCAAATTAAGGCGTGGAGGACTGCTTGCGTGGTGGTAACAATAGACTCAGAGCTAAAATGGAAGTGCTAGGTTTGTCGTAAACTTCTATTTTGCCTCTTATTTCCCCCCTTCAAGTTTACATGCAACGGAACGGGAAGCAAAGTAAATATATATTTATGTACCTTTTACTGTGCTGGGTGCTCGCAATGCATTATTATCATTTACTCCTCATTGCATCGTGATTGAAGTATTTTCTGTATTTTACATATGAGGGGATGCAAGTTGGTAGACTTTTATTCCACAGGCATTGTCTCTGCTAAGACACTGCTTTTCGTTTTCATTTCATTCTGCCCAAGCACAATGGTAATTACTGAGATGTCTTTTGTTTTTTTAAAAAAACATAAATGGGTATTAATATGTATTTAGGGCAAAAAATTCTGCTTATTATTCATCAAAACTGTGTGATGTCAAAAGACCAAAATCTTAAAGAACTAGTTTTCTAGCTATCACACATTTGTACACTCTGTGAAAGCTCTGCCTGAAACATGGACAATAAAGCAGTACAAAAGCATACAGGTTGAATAGACAGAGAAAAAAAAAGAAATCAAATTAGAGCATCTCACCCTTATTAATTTTGCTTCTAGCCCAGGAAATGCATAAAGAACCATCATAAGATGAGCTTTGGAAACGGTTTCTAATTGTGGTTTGGATACAGGTATTGATGATGCATAGAATCTCTTTTTGTGTTAGTAAGCCATGCAAGTTATTCCAGGAGCAACAGTTAACTGTTACAGTTATACTCTGGTTTGGTAATTCCACATATAATAATTTTTTAGGTATAAAATATTTCAAACATACAAAAAAGTAAAAATACAACATAACAGGTAGCTAAGCACCCATCACCCAAATTGTGCAGATGTTAATGTTTTGGCCCTATTTGCTTAACTGTTCTCTTGTACCTATACATAATCCAAGAAGATATACTAAAGCTCATCCGGAGGTAGCCTCTTGCCTAAAGTTAGTGTATATCATTTTGATGTACATGTTTATACTATTATAACATTCGTAAGTGGCATGAATAACAATGTGCATTAGTTTTTGTTTTTAAAATTTAACAAATAGTATCTCACTAATACATCCTTT